AGTAAGATGACTGAGCAGCACTTTCTACATCTATTAAATCAATCATGCTTTAAAGCAGGGGCATGGACAAGGTTCATGTCACACAATACGCAAAGGTTTAATTTTTCATATAAAACACATGGAGAGTTTCTAAAGCATTGTGTCTTATTCAGTGAAAAAAGTTTATCAGGTCATTTATAGTCTGTAAACAAGTTCTTTAAATTTTATTTTTCTAAATAAACACTAAATTCATTTTTACTTTTAACTATTTTCTCAAATCAACTTTTTATAATTAAACTTCTGCAAATTGTTCTTCTTTATTATTTCAAGATACATGCACACATTTGCATAACATTTGTAAATAAGTACTTTTAAATGAAACAGGCACTACACTCTTCTACACTGTGAAATTTGCTTTATAAGACCAACACAGGCAGAAAAAGCTTTAGAACAGTCATCTTTTTGCAAGATAACCCACTGAACACTATGTATAAATTATTAGTACTAAACAAATATTAGTTATAACAACAACACTCTGAAAGGGGCCATTAAATAGTACTTTTTACTTGTAATACCTTTACTTAAGTAACATTTTCATTCCAGGGCTTGCCACTGTTGTTTAGCCACTTTTACTATAATACAGGGCCTGAATACTTTCTTTTGCTGAGTTCAGTAATTATCTCACACATCTTCCTTATTGTGCTGCTAACTTATAAAAAAAATATCTGTCAGCTCCCTGTGAACTGTAATGTGTGTCCCACCTTCGTCCCATTTGGCTCGTCCTTGATGCCCTCTGAGGACATGGAGGGTGGTGGATTGTACTCCTCATCAACAGGCTCTTCTTTTATCTTCACGAGGAGTGAAGAGAGAGCTGGATTAGCTGTGCAACATCTAGGAAAGAGACGATCGAGTCGAACATTCTAGTCTACATTCACATGGCACGCCTTAATGCTCAATTACAATTTTTTGTCAGATTTGTTGATGTTTTTCTGTTGATAGTTCACATTGGTGTTTGCGACATGTATCCGACTCTGGCATGAACACTGCCGAGGTGCCTAAACTGCCAGGCGCATGCGGATTTAACAGAAATGAGCCACGTGCGTACAAGAATGATAAGCCATTACTACAAAAGTTGTATAAACTATATTTATGTTGCAATTGCACAAATCAGAAATGAGGTTGAATCTGTGTTATAGTATTACAAAAGACAGTATTAAACATAATACTCACACAGACCAGATTTGTAAGTGATGGCTTCACCTCTTTAAAGTCCTTCTCTTCAGATGAAGGGCTGCTACTCTCTATAAAGACATGGTAAACATGGGTCAAACTGAGAAGCTGGATACACTTGAGACACAAGACAGGAACAGTGGAAAAATATGGACTGTATTTTTTATATAGCGCTATTCTCACAGTGTGTTGCACTGGCCAAAGCGCTTTACAGAGGATCATACACCATTCACCCATTCACACAACATTCACACCGATGACGGTGCTGGTTTTACCAAAGGAAGCAGCCAAAAGCAACCTATTCTATGCCTTACATTTGTAAAATTCGGTCAAAATTCGCAACTTATTCTATAGTCCAGCGTAACAGTACCTTTGTGATACAAATTAGACAGTGAAAGTTGGGGGTTAGGGAAAGTAAATAGTACTGAAAACGTGTCTGCACAGTACCTGACACAATTAAAGACTGAGAACCGTATACCATCATACATCTGTTGCTACAGAAGAAGGTCAACCTGCCCTCTTTGTTTTTGTTTTCAACCATGTCTGACATCCAGTGAGATGTCTGGCACATGGGGCACAGCTGAGGCGTCTTGACTTTCTGCAAACACACAGAAGAGAAACCACGTGAGGCAGGATTAGCTCGTCCAAATGTTTCTTGCAATTCAGACATTTTACTCATCAGGAAGGAGTTTGGATACTGTTCATGTGAGACTCATAATGGTGTTTGACTGTGGCTTTATAGTAATACACACGTCCTTCAATACTGTGCCAGTCTGACCAGGGTAAACCTGGAAGTTGCAGACCAGGTGAGTTCAACACCATTACCTTTATATTTACGGAACCTTATAAATATGAAGAGACCATGATTTTAAGGTTTGATTTCTGCACCTCTTTGGCCTTGACCAGGCACTGTTCACTGCAGATGTCTTTACTGCCATCCTCCAACTGCACCACGAGTGGTTTGTCGAGGCAGACGGAGCCACAGATGTCACAAATATTCACAGGCAAGTTGTTGTCTCTGTGGTATTTGATAAAGCAGGTGTCGTTGCAAAGTCTATGGAGCACACCATTCAGGGACAGCTTGAATTTGCACTGAGGATGACAAAAGAACATGTAGAGGTAATTATTGTGCTGTAAACAGAGGAACACTGTTTACTTAGATGTCTGTAACTGATTACAAGCATAGAGTTGGTTTCTTTTTTTCTTACATAACAAAATCTGGCGCACATCTTGCATTCCGTACGAGGTCCTAATTGCGGTGGTGGTTTTGGGGCAGCCATGTTCCTCTTGGATTTGACAGAGGAGAGGCAGGAGTCACTGCACAACTCCTTCATAATCCCTGAATCATCCACTGGTGCAAGGATGATGTTGTGAGGTCGCATTATCACCCTGAGGAAATGAGGATGAATGAGATAAACATGAGATCCACAATCAGGAGAAAATCCGTCAGCGGCACATGAGACATTTGTTAAGAAGCAGTGATGTTTTTACTAATAAAATGGGTGGCCAAATATACCTAGGTGGCCTGCCCAAGTAAAATCTACCCATGGGAAACACTGACTCCTCACAGAAAAATGAGGAGACGTGAAATACAGCCATAAAGACGCATGAAGAAAACTATCCTGGACTTACTGAAAGCAGTTATAGCACTTTTTGGGGACTAATTGGATGTCGGGCTGCCTTTCAGAGAGGCAGGAGGCAGAGCAAAAAACCTCCGGTGAACTCTTCGACTGGTAAAGTGTCTGTCCTCTCGGCAGCTTTGTTCCACAGTTAGAACAGACAATACATGAGTCTGCAATGATGAGTGTTGGTACGTTGCCCGATACAGCAGCTGAAGAGGCGTCATTTTCGCTTAAGCTGGAGTCTGAACTGACTTTTACATCCTCCTGTTTGAGAGTGCACAGTTGTGGTTCAGTGAATAGAAGTCATCCCTGAACTATCAAGGATCGAAACAGTCAAACTGTGATCTCGCTGCTTCCCGCTGTGACTCAGTCAAGCAGAAGAAAGCTTAATTAAAACATAGTAAGAAAAGGCGCTATATACTGTAAATATATCTGTTTTAAGTAGCTCTCATGTGTTGTTGATTAAAGCTCATATTTTTACTGTTGTTCCATTAAATTATTGTGTGAAATATACTCACAGTATTTGATTTTTGTTTTGATTGCTTTCCCTTTTTTCTGTTTTTCAACCGAAGTGGGGTTTTCTTTCCTGAGGAGAGAATCAAAACCTGAAATCAAAACCTAAAACCAAAATCCTTCTCACAATTCAGTATTGCCTCCACATTCGGATATATCTACAACTAACATTTTGGTAAATATGAAAGAAAATGGTTGCAAAGCCTTTAACAAGGACTTTTTGATGACCACCCAAAATTCTGCCACATTTCTCTCACGGATGCCAACATTAGTCTGGAATCCCTAAAAACACACACTGTAAAGGGACTGTGTTCTGATCGACATGTTAGTTGTGTTAGTTGTGACACAGCACATACCAAGACAGGAAAAATTGACCATTACCAATGAAAAACTTTTAAATCCTTTCTTATTGTATTATAATGGATAATACATGTATTGTACCAGACGAATCAACAAAAAGAGCTGTCTCGACAAACTTACTGTCCAGTACCTTTAAGCTTGTATATAACTGCAGGCCGTAGCTTGTATGATGTCACACAGGTGCGACTGCAAAACAGCTCCACCGTGTCCTCGCTGCTTTTGTAGTCAATCATGTCTGACATCGGTTGAGACGCGTGGCACATGGTGCACATGTGGGGTGTCAAGAATTTCTGCAGAAGAATAGAAAACGATAAAAGAATGTTAGACATATTGCAGAATGATTATTTCTATGATAGTAAACATGAGGTCAGTGCTAATGTCAAGGAGCAAATGTAAAACAGCAAGTTGTACTGTGCAAAAGGTTTAGGCCAGCGAAATGTTTTGATTCGTATCCATCACACCAAACCATCAACGAGGCATCTGATCAGTCCTAAATTTGTTCTGCAGCAGGACACTAGCCCCACGCTGATTTAAGCACACAGCACATAGATGAAGACTGTGTAACTGAATATTTGAGTAACACTGCATTTTCTAGCATATAGCATGGCTATACCATGATGTGCTCTTGGGTACTATGCAGTGTTTTGGTGTTTTCTGCACCTCTTTGAATTCTTTCAGACAATTCTCACTGCAGATGGTTTTGGTGTCCTCCTCCAGCTTCAGCTTGAGTGATTTATTGTGGCAGCGGGAGCTGCAGTGTTCACAGATGGCCATGTCCCTGCAAAAATCTTCCAAGCAGGAGTCACTGCAAAACTTGTGGACAGCATCGTTCAGAGTCAACTCACACGTGGTCTGTAAAACATAATAACAAAGGAGCAGTAAGTATGATAAAGACAAAAATGATCAGTTTTAAAGTGTTTGAAGATGAAACAAAAATACATTTGTTTTTGCTTACAGTGCAGGATTTCTTGCACATGCTGCAGAGTGACTGTGGTGTCTGGGTGGACACAGCATTGGACTTGAAAGAGCACAGGCAGGTTGGACTGCAGAAGTCTTTCATAGTTCCTTTAATGTCCACTGCAGCCATGATGAGGTCCAGAGGCTGCGTGATCGCTCTGAAAGAACCAGGTGGTGGTCGGTTTATCAGCCTTTAATATAATAAATAATCTCTGACACATACATAATGTTTACGCACAATCAAGTTGAAGAAGAAGTTGAGAGGCTTGCATATGTACTCGAGTTAGCTCTATTACTTTAAAGTACACATGCACTGGTACACAGCCAGTACTGTAGTGAAACATTATATCGTAATAATACTGCCAATGATTTGTAGTAGCATCATTATTACCATTTGAAGAGGACATCATAAAAACCTCACAGTGCTCCCATCTTCAATAGCAGACATTTGGATTTGCCATTTGCTAACATTACACACTCAGCCAACCTAATGAAGCACAGTTAGTTTACAGCAGGAGCTGTAATGTTCAGTTAGCGAGAGAGAGGATGTTTATTTCATGTTACTGTCAAAGAAGACAGCTCCTGCATCAGCTCACACATAAGAGGTGAAGTTTTTCAGACGTACTTGAGACAGTAATGGCAGTTCTTGGTGGTTGGTTTGTTGATGGGGAACTTTTGAAACAGGCAGTTTTTGGAGCAGAAGACGTCTGTGAATCCCTTCTTCTGGTAAGCAGTTTGTCCCTTCATCATGCCCTTTGTGCAGTGTGTGCATGTCATGTGGATGGCCTGAGTAAAGAGTCAACTACATTTATACCAAGAAATGTGACATTTAAAATACAACAGCATGAAGTTACTACATAATATGAAAAAGAAAAACAATGTCTGTGATCCCTTAATTTTTTAATTAGATTTGACCTTTACTGGTTAAATTCTGTACTTTTTATTGTTTTTAAATCACAGTTTAATTGAAGTGGCATGAACTCAGATCAGATTTTATCTTTTGGTTTCTCAATTCGTAAACTAATTTCATAGCTACATTTTATGCGGCCAAATGCTTTTACAAATTCTTTTCCCCACCATTTCATCACTGCGCTTGTTCTTGATGTCTGTGGGTGGAGAGGATGTTTCACACTGGTGGTTGTCGTCCTGGATGGGCTGGTCTTTCACCGACCAACTGGGAAACTGGGAAATGTGGACTGGAGCCTGTATCTTCTCCTAGTGCACAAAGAGAGAGAGAGAGAAAAAACATAGGTCACTTGAGAAAATTGTGGTACTGCGATGTAATTTTAATTACTGTATTTTATGCTGAAACTGAAAATCAAGTAATGCTGAAACATTTTAAATTCTTGTCTGATGTCATTTCTAGCTGTTTACAATGGAAAACCAGAGCCTAAAAAGGATCAACAACAAAAAATTTGCACGCTCATTCATTCAGCATTTTTATTTATAACATGAGAAAAACGCCATGAAAAAGGGACACTTACAATGTCCAATTTTGGGATTAATATCTTCACTTCTTTCATCCCTGCCACTGCAGCTGATAATTTGTTCTTCTCTATAAATGATAAAAACATATTAGTGTAAGAATTGTTAAGACAGTAAAACAGACAAGCACGATTTTTTCCACAGACATTCAGTAAATGCTTCCCATGAGGTTTCCCACACAATGTGTCCCCTGACATTTCCTCAAGCACCACCAGACTTAACCTTACCTGTATTTAAGATGGCATAGGAGCTACTATCCATCCAGTCACTTTGTTCCTCTCCTTTCGCTTTGTCTTTTTTCTCCACATGATTCTTTGTATAAACATCCACGGTCTCTTCAAGGTTTGCGTCAGTGGTGTGTTTCTCAGGTTTCTTACTGTCACTGGTGTCCTTGTCCTGGTTTGTGGTTTCTTTGGCGTCTGTTAGCATGGGGATTGAGCTGTCTGTGACACCGTCTCCATCGTTCTCCTCATTTCTGACACTGTCTTCATCCGTGTCTATGCCAAAGTCCACATTCACGTGCTCATCATCATCATCATCATCACTAAACCATATGTTTGTTACATCCTCTTTGCTATTAGATGGCGTTTCCTCTGGTGTGCTGACAGCACAGCTCACAGGCATTTCCTCTGTCTGGTCATCATTCTCTGTGTTCACCTCATTTTGCTCATTATTCAGCTCTGACTCCTCATTTTCACTCTCCTGCCTCTTCCTGACTCGGCCACGGTTCCTCAAGGAAGGAACTCCTTTTTTAGTGGATGAAAAGAAGCCTTTGTTTGAGGGAACAGAAGACAGAGACAGGTTTGTTGTACACATTTGTTTACTATTTATGTCACTATCTTTCCAGTCAATAATTTCTGCTGCCTTTGTCCCTACTGAATTTCTTTTAAAACCATGATTATTAAAGAGTAAATATATTTTGAGTGTCTCTCCTGGCTCCAATATTATAACTATAATTTTCTAAATCTCCTACTAAGTCTTTAGTTAAGAAGGTTCACAGCTGTTATTGTACCAATCTCACTTTCTGATAATCAACAAATTAAGCTTATTCAGGGTTCAGTTTCTTACACTTCTACATGTGGACAGAAGGAGTCAGAGATCAAACTCGTGAACAACCTGCTCGACCTATATAACATAACATTGTTTTATGTCTCACATGTTTACCAGATTACTGGTAAACATGTTTACTGGTAAACATGGATTGTAATTCAACCAAGGATTGTATTGTATGGCAGGATACTTTTAGTAATGTTTAGGCGAATGACTAAAACATTTTTAGCGAGCTGAGCAACTCACAAAGATAGACGAAAGTCATGCAGACAACTTTGTGTGTGCCTGTGCATTAACGTGACTGCATGCAGTTCAGACTTTGCTACTAGGTCCGACCTAGTGAGGCTGCCATCGCAACTTTTACAAACAGTGATCAGGGTGCTCATCCAGACATGGAGCTGACACACTCAGGTGTAGTCAGGTTAATGGAACTGAGTGCATGTCTGCCTCTGATTCCTTCGTGCTGCAAAAGGACGGATTTTCAAGTCACATTTTCATCTATCACATACCACTCAGTTGAGGAGAACTTTCCTCTTCTGCATTCTCCTCAGCATCACTGTTGTCAGCATCATCCTGCTCCACATATGGCTGCAGTTTGTCTTCAGGGGGAAGGCAAACATGTATTACACCAAGAGGACTGGGTGACATGGTTTTAATCACGAGCATTAGTTTTAATCGTGTGATAATTAAGAGTGACTCTACTGGAGTCCAACTTGTCTTCTTATTACAATGGCATTTCTTTAAAATGTTTATAATTTATGCTGTTCTTAATTATAAGTGTCTTTGGATAATCAGCTTAGATCATGCTCATGTTTTGCTAATATTCTGAGGAAGTAAATACACTCAACATGTTTGTTAGTCCTCAAGGATGAACACAACTCACGTTGTGAGCAACATTAACTGTAAACTAAAATGCCAGACATCATCTTTAGGTAATGAACTAGGCACATACCTGCAATCTCAATTTCCTCAAGAGATTTTCCTTCAAATCTTTCAAGAGAGCCATTCTCCATTGCCGAAAGTAGTTCTGAGATTTTTGCAATGTCCTCCACTGCCTCTGGCGTCTGATAATACTCCCTGTCGGTCCGGATGTCACGGCCCAGCAGCTTGGCTAGCTGATCAAGTTCATCATTTGTGAGGCTGAGAATCTGGGAAATTCTTGTCACATGCTTACGAAAAAACAGAGACCTGAGGTTCGTCTGGTTTTTTGCACCACAACGTGCTGCAAAAATGCTGATACACGTTTGTCCCTGGTAGAAGCTTGTAGGTATGTTGACCGGCCTTGCAAATAAGAAGGGATTACATCTGAGTACACCACAAGTTTCTCTCTTGTTCACAAGCAGTGTTATTGCGCTGAGCAGTTCTGTGGTCAGCGTAACATCCACTGTTTTGCCACTTGTGCTTCTAAGTTTGAGCTTCACAAAGCGCTTGCACAGAAGTTGCTCAAACTGTGACTGGGAATCAGCACTGTCTTTATGGATCTCAGTCTCGTCCCTTTCCTTAAAAGACTGGAGTGTCACTTTTGAAACTTCTACCACATTTTTATTTAAGACTGACACTTGTGCAAGCGTCACTCTGAGAAGTGCAGTATAAACTGGTGGGCTTTCATACATGGCCAGACTTTGCACTGCAGACGCTGCTGTTTTGTCCATGTACTGGTAGAAGAACTGCACATCCTGTGTGAACGCTATGGTTGATGGGTTGTTTAATTCTAATTTTGCTGTGCTCCATTCGTCTGCACACAGTCTCATAAATGTCTCTGCTTCACGTATAATCTCTTTGTCAGCATCTTCTTTCAAAGCTCTGGCGTATTTAATGTCTCCAATTTTCTTCAGGGAATTTCCCAGTTTCAGCTGAAGACTTGGTCTGTCACAGGTCTTCATCTCTTCATTGAAACCAGCAAGCTCTCTGACAGCTTCAACAACTTTGCTGAAGTTTTTGGGTTTCATAGCATCTTCAAAGCTACATATTGACTTTTTCCTTAATGTTAACAGGAGTCTTCCCATTTCCCTCAGCCTTTGTTTGATGTACTCATGTGACTTTCTTTTCTTTTCATTTCCGTGACCCAAACACTGTGCCAGCTGCAGTATATAAGAATCACTCCAAACTACAGATGCAATCTCATCTTTCTTTAGGTTTTTTAATATCGTTCTCACACCTGATGAGATTTGTCGGGGGTCTTCTGTCACTGTTGCAGCAACCAGAGTTAAGATTTTATTCCTGCCACGTGTTGCAGGTTTAGAGAGCTTTTTTGACGAACATCCTTGCATATGTTGCCATATATCCTTACAGACAAACGTGGCTTTACAGTACAGACATGTTGCAACTGTTTTAGCGATGGTGGCTATTTTTGGGTGTCTTTTCACCTTCGGTTTCCCATGACTAGTCTTCAAAACCTTCTGATTATATTTGTAATTTCCTTTTTTCCGTAACTTCTCCAGTTGCCTTTTGCGTTGCCTGGAGTTCATGGGTAATGCAAACACTTCAGCGATAGTGGGCACTTCTTTTCTGTGGGTGAAAAGGTGGCGAGAAATTTTAGACTGAGCTTTCCCACAAACATAACAATAATTTCTGTGGATGGAGGAAGGGTCTTTAGCCTCTCCATCAGAGTTGTAATCAGCTTTGTCCTCCTGCTGGATGGATGAGTCACTACTGGACTGTTGCTCCAATCGTGAAGAATCCGCGAAATCTGGACTGTTCTCGCCATTGTGACATCCCTCATTGTCGTTGCTGGCAACACTGTCATCATCACTTGGTTCATCATCAGGGACATAGTCGTCATCAGAGTAGGATTCTGCAGAACTGAAGGCTCCCTCTGAGTCCTCACCCTGGAGTTATGAACATTGAAGTACTTTACATAACCAAACAGAAAACAATACAAAACTAGAACTGCAGCACTAATTTAGCAGTGCCGTAAAAATTCTAACTGTACTCTTTAATAGTCCTTCATATCATTACACTAATGGGGTGATTCAATGACTTCATCATGTCTGATCACTGAACAAGAGACTACAGCATTGCATTGACTGTGCTTACGTTCATTCACGCATAAAGAGTGGGGCAAGTGGTGAACAGAACACCTGCAGATGAGACTGGTTTGAAGAACTGGTTATTTATTCAACTTCCTCTCTGATGTCTTCGCTATCACTGATCTCCACCAGCATCACAAACTTGCAGAAAAAAATCTATGCACTATCACGCTGCATTCTTGAGGAGGTACACATCAGCTATCATTCCACAGTTATGTATGGTGGCTATGCAGCTACAACCCAAACCCTGGTAACATCCTATTGTTAGTGCTGGTGTAGCCAATCACGTAGGTGAATGCATTGAAGCTACCCTAATCAATTTCTGACCATTAAGTCACCAGAGTGACATTATAAAGTATCACAGTCATGGCTAAACTGAACAACCCCAGACATCTGCACAAGCTGCAGAGGAGAAATCATCCATCACCAACCGTTTCATCCCCAGGAGAAGCTGCAGCTGCATTTCCATCAGCTTGTGATGTATTTGGTCCCTCACTGGAGTCATGTAAATATGAAGATGTCTGAGAATGAAAAACACATCATGACTTTTTTTTTCTTGCAGATATTTCAGGTTGTCAAAATGTATTAATATTCCCCATGATAGCAAAAAATATGGATAAACATAATTTTAAAAGGCTATAACCTACAATACATATTGGAAGCGTCGGTATAGGTACAGTGACAATATGTTAGAGATAGTGTGACTCAACCCTGATGACATTACTGAGGTTTTGTACTACTCATTGTTATACCGAGGGAATTTCCTAGTGTTCTGTCATAAACCAAGAGGGAAGGAACATTAAAAACATTTGTAGACATATCTGCAACAGATGTCAGATATACTTGAGTTACTCATAACATCATAAAAAGAAAACTTCCTTTCTATCAAAAACAAGGAAAAAATTTCTAAACAAAAACATAGCTCAGTGCAGAAAATACACCTACTGTTGCACGCCATGGGTAAGAGGAGTTGCCGTAGTTGTATGTTATCTCCTTGCCTGCAGATATTTTCCTCAGTGCAAAAAGGCACAAGTGTGGCTTCCCTTCACAAACAACTTTCTTCATTTCACAGTTGGGACTTAGGTGATCATCATTCACAAATCTTCCGAGGCTCCCATCCTCTGCCGAGGCATCGATGCTGCAGTCAAAATACACTTAAATGACACTTCAGCTATTTTTAAATTGGCCACATTTTACCACACTGACTGACTGATGGCTTGGACACTCGGGTGAAGAGAGGGGCGGAGCTGTCAACTGATCACCACCTGGTGGTGAGCTGGATCCAATGGCGGGGGAGGAAGCTGGACAGACTCGGTAGACCCAAACGTATTGTGAGGGTCTGTTGGGAACGTTTAGCAGAATCCCCTGTCAGAGAGATCTTCAACTCC